AGGTAAACGTTTACCGACGTTTCAGAGGTACATGCTGCCTCGATCAACAGGGCAATGATGAGGAAGCAAGGACTTTTGAAATGTCGGTATGAGCTTCTACCAGACTACATGGCGCTGCAACCCAGAAGACAGCAGCAATTTTCATACTCGCCCCCGTGAGAACCTCAAATACTATTCTGTAAAATTGTAACATGTTTATGTGATTGGTAAATAAGCAGACATGGGGAACGAAGCAGACGTGACCTCTTTTTAAGTTTATGTACTATAACAGTTATATTCCTACATATCTAAGTGATGTATTGCCCCGAAAACAAAATCAAAACGTGCATAAATTACCGGACTTCTGCACAGGCGGGTCTGGGCTGTCAAATAAGCTGACAGAACGATGACTCGAAGGATAAATCCACCAGCTGCAGTGCCACTTTATTCACTGGACTACGCTGGAATGAATCCCCTATCTCCTGCCTGAGACGGTACAGCCTAAACACCTGAGCTATGGGGCAATCTGCCATTTATGCATACTAACAAAAGCCCGCTCCAAACACTTGTGTGGTCCATAAGACAAGCAATGTTCCACAGACTTCTCGAACATAACGTCACATGACGTGGCTACAAGCCAAGTCATTGGGACACACCTACAGATGTGAACGTTTCCCTCATTCTTTACGCGAAGTGCATCAAAATGCAGAAACGTGGACACCAAGTCCCTACTGACATATTTTATCCCTCAAATTGCGTAACGGACTTCGATTAAATCTGACGTACTAGGGATTCCACACTAAATGCTGGAGCGCGAACTTAATTTTGGTCTCTATCCGTCTAGCATGAACCACAGATTAGGGGCGGAACGATCATGTTAACCGCGTTAGCCCGGCAAACAATTTTAAAAACAAAAAACAAAAATTAAACGTCTGTCTAACTTCGTGGTTCAGTGGCACGCCGCGAGTGTAAGCCTCAATTAGCTGGCTAACAACGCCAGGCTGCCTGAAGCTGGCTAACGGTGCATTTTATCTGATCGGTTCTGCTGTGTTACAGTGTACGGAGTACCAATGAACCTCGAAAGTAAGACGGAAGACTACTTTACTATTCGTTTTTCAAAGTGTTAGCCGGGCTAACACGGTTATCAAATCCTTTGCATGAAATAAAAATCCACCTTTCATATGTGTATTTATAAAAATCTGTCCAATACAAAATTCGGATCTCAATGAAGATACTCAACATTTTCCGGGCCACTTTTGATATAATGTATGAACAAACTCCGATACAGCGCCCCTCGTAATGAGCCCAAGAAACCCGTTGGACAGAAATTCCTTTTGTAATTTAGAATGGAATCACCCGGTAAAGCGCCATCGAGTGAAGTCCGATACACCGTAATACCATTTTGTTTCCACCTGCAACTCCATGGTAAATTCAGTTGTAAAAATTCTGCACACCAATGTCTGCCTTAACAAATTAAATCAACCCAGGCAAGAGGAGGACAATGGACTTTATTTGGGGTCAGAGGTGTAAATGGCGACATTCCAAATCCAGGCAGTTACTGCAAATGAACCTGCTACTAGGACTGGCGTCAATCTGAAAATGGAACAGCAACAGATAATTCAAACACTTCAGTTTGAATGCAACGGTCGGGCTAGCCAAGTGTAATGACGTTAGGTAAACACACCTAGAGGTGCGTTTTATAGCAATCAGATGTATTTGTGACGCGTAGGATAAGCGATTAATGTTGCTGAGAGAAAGACATGTACGCGCCTTCATTATTCTGGTGCAGAGCAGTAAAATGTTGCCAACTATTTCGCCCATTTATGGGGTAAACTAATAATTCGGCGTTGTGTTGGAGATACTCTAGGCGTAAAAAAAGAAATGGGGGAAAAGGAGACATGTGAAAGTTCGAAACAGCTAAAGGATTCTAAAGTTCAAGATCTTAGGGTTTCGTTAGTTATTTGGATTGGGCAAGCGCATAAAATATTGAAACAGAAAGTGATAAAAATATTGAGGAACAAACAAAATTTCTTGAACATCAAATTAGTGACAAATTTTGAACACAAAACTTTTGTTTTGCCCCAAAAACTTAAATGAAGATAAACAGGCCTGCTGAAAAGTTGGTAATATTACAAAGTACAGACTCTTTCTCTTTTCCAGTTCCAAACTCAGAATTTCGCACACCATATGAAACTTAAATACATTAATTTATAAAAATAACCCCCCCCCCCAAAAAAAAAGCTTTTTTCTGCTACCCCCGCTTTAACGCTCGCCAGTATTGTTTGTGGACAGTGAGGATCTGTGACGGGCTTTCACACCTAAGCGTTACGATTTAGAAACAAGGCTTCACTTTCTTGAGAAGAAACTGACTTTGCCACAGCAACACTCAAGGTTACAAACACATTTCGTAATCTCGATGTCATTCCCTGCAACATGGCGCTACGCGGCTAGTCGGAGGAGGAAAACGGGTTCGGTCTAGC